CTCACACTGAGTCAGCTGTGTGTTCATGATATAAAATGCTGTGAATCTGATGGTGTTTGTCAGGATAACTCACTGGAGTTTGAGAAGCGCAGAAATATTCCTGTCAAATACAACCGCGAGCTCTGGAGTAAGACCGGTGAGTCTCTCTCTCTCTCGCTCACTCATTAATGTGTGTTGAATCCATCAAAAACAAACGGCAGGCGTGCTTTATCCTGAACAGGTGAGGTTGATGGAGTTTAGCAGCTCATCTTACTGCTATTGCTCCTGATCATCCATGACTGAACGGGTCAAAGGTCAGCTGATTCATACAGTGTTATTTTAGCATCAGTGAGAGACTGTTAGTGTTTGAATGAGTTTTTATTTTTGTATTTTACGTTTTCCTTTTAATTCGAGCTAAAGGCTTAGTAATTTGTTTGTGAATTTTCTAAGTAACAAATAGACACAAGGGGAATAGGATAGGACTTGTTCTGTTAAAATGGGAAATTATGTCTATCCAAACTTAAATTGTTGTAATTTATGAACACTTTAGAATACAGACCTACGGTTGGGCTCTTTTTAAAGAAGGATTTTTTTCCAAAAATTCAAGTATCAAAAAGTTATAGACGTTTACATTTACTGTAAAGAAAATGCGCTATACTAATTTTATATATAGTAAATATTTTACATAAAGTCTTAAAGCCTTGTCTAAATAAGTTGTTCCAAATTTTAAGTTGATATGAAAAAAATTGCGGTTCCTGTGAGATTTTAAGGCGCTATGCCATCCAAACTCCATTGAATTTATTTTTACGCATTTTTCTGTCACAGAAGTAAGATTTACAGAGAAATCTAGACATTTATCTGAAAATAACCACTGAGACTCAGACCTTTCCAATGACATGTTTTTAGTCAAGATTATAAAAAGGTTTGATTGTAAAAGACCGTAATGCATTTTGTAATATGACACTTGACGCCGCCAAAAGATTTTAAAGTACCATGGTAACACACTTTATTGTGTGTGTGTGTGAGAGTGTGTGTGTGTGAGAGTGTGTGTGTGTGAGAGTGTGTGTGTG